CTGAGAAATTACTTTGTTTTGAAGCTTCATGCAGCATGAAGTACAAATGGTGTGTGTGTGTGTGTGTGTGTGTGTGTGTGTGTGTGTGTGTGTGTGTGTGTGTGTGTGTGTGTACTCGAGGAAAACACAGAGAAGAACAGCTGAATAGCTGCTAACTGCCACGGCTGCACAGACAAACAAAAGAGAGCATACAGAAACACAACAGTGTCCATCAACGAAAAATCCAAAGACAACAGCAGCGCCCACACGCTCTGATTGACAAGTGATCTTTGTCTAGTGAAGAGCGGCAGTGAATGCAAAAAACCAAAACACAAAACAAAAAAGAGAGCCTATAGAAAATGTAGATTTTACAGAGCCTGCCGTCTTATAGTCCACTGCACCCACTGACTGTTCGAGAATCTGCACCGAGCAACAGTATTTCTCACCCAGAGGCCCTCTGCTATAACAGATGGAGTTATTTGCAGTTAACTCCTGAAACCTACAGCTTTTGTCAATGAAAGGCACCCTGGGGAGAGCTAAGACTGGCTGAGGGGCAGTGATGACTCACAGAGGCTTCCACACCCGGAAGCTTCCAGTAAGACTCGCAGATCAAAAGCATGCTTAATTGGACCAGTTAGGGCCCCCTTGCATCTTTGATCCATCCGCAGCGCTTTGTCTTAGTCTTCAATCGACCTTTTGTGTGTTTAACACTTATCGACATGACTGAGCGTTTGCGGAGGTCTGGGCTAACATCTGGGTAGCCAAACAGCAGCTGGTGAAGCACGTGCACTCCATTAAAACATGGTGATGTGGCAGTTTTTTTTGCGTTGTGTCACAATGACCGGGAGTTTGCAGGGTCGAGGAATGCAGCGAAGAAAAGAGGAGGAGGTATTCTCTTACCTCGGCCTTCCAGGAAGGAATCGTGCAATTGCTCCCGGAGAAGACTGGGAATAATTTGAGTGTCCAGACCCACTGTACAGCTGTAATGTCTGGTTTAGACAGGACTGTCTACCTCTCACCCTACACAGTGGACCTCCCGGAACAGTGGAAACTGAGGCCACCCAAGTCCTGCTGGAGCTCAATGTGCCTGTGTGTGTGTGTGTTTATATGTGTGCATTAAATCTCATCTTACTGTCCACACAAAACAGCCAAGGCTCTGATCTCAGCAAGGGGAAGCCTGTACTCAATTTCAGACAAAAGGGGGCACGGATGGATGAAGGATGAAGAAGCAGGATGGGGGAGACCCGCAGTAGATGAGTGTGTTTGCTTTGTTATTCATCCAGATTCACGGCCCTGACTCATCCCGTAGTGCTCTTCAGACAGCTGCACGAGGAGATGCTGATGAAATATTTACAAGCTACGTGATTTAGCAGCTGCATTAGCACTTCATTAACCAAACTCAATCAATCAATCTGACATAATCCAGCTGGGACAAGTTGAAATAAAGACAAAGATAGCGGTTTGGTACCGGTTCACGGCACCTGCGGCGCCTAGCTGAACAGTAGCTAAAATAGCGAGAAACCGCAAGTGACTCAGTTTGTTGGTAGCGTAGCTGAAAACTCGCAATCTGCAACAAAACTTCCCACTTGGAAGGCAATCTTTCTACAACATCTCTGTCACTACTGCTAGAAAGGGAGAAAGAGAGAGAAAAAAATCAAAGCAGTAATAACAGCCGATGTAATCATAACTAAGAGGCCTGTGTTACCAGAAGAGGCTCAGAAGAATAATGGTCTCAAAAACAACCTGTTGTTTTTTCCCTCTCGCCAGTAAAAACAAGAAAGAGTCTTACTGGAAGAGGGATTATGATGTCCAAAAAAGTTAAACACAACACAATTTATGGGCCCATCAAAGAGCAGGAGGGGTGTGTGTGTGTGTGTGTGTGTGTGTGTGTGAGTGAGTGAGAGAATGGGGGGGAGGCGTGCAGCAGGCCCGACCACAGCTTTCTGCTGACTGATGCAAGCTCAGGAGGTGAGTCATGGATGAAGAGGAGGGCTGGTGTGTAAGTGCTCCTGAGGGCTATTGGGGAGAGCGAAGGTTGTGAATAACGGGAGCTGTGTACTCCAAAAATGTGGGGACAAGCGGGAGGTCACAGCCCGTGCACACATGAAAGCGAGAGCTGTGTTTGTGAAATACCAAAAAGTGACCCTAGGATGACAAGTGAAGCCTCTTCGCAGCCTTTAATCCTCACTTTCACAACATCTGATTTGGCATTCATGTAAAGCTCAAATCACATGCTTGTTATAGCTTTTTTAACTGTACTGGTTGGAAACTGTGGCACAGTAAAAGTCCCCAGGGGGGGAAGTGTTGTGTAAGAGAACCCATTACACACAAACAATTAAACCTCTCCAGGTTCGATTAAAGCAAAGAGGTGATTAACACCACTGAGTGATGACGTATTTGGTCGGTAGAACACATTCACCACAAAACCCCCAGCGGCAGGAAATGCAAACATCGGCCCCAGGCTCGTGTGACGAAAACAAGCCGCAGAGGCCGGTGTGAAATGACTCAAGCAGCAATCCTTTAAAGATTGAAATCAGTTAGAGGAAACAGCCAGTGGTCACCACATCCTCCGGTTATCTTAAACTGCTCTGGTTGAGTAAGAGAGCATCTGTAAGTTTGATGGAGGTTAGAGAAGCAGGACTTCACTCACTGATGATGCATGTGCAGAAGAAAGTGTGAGGAACTTCTGGGGTGTTTTTTCCCTCTCTTATTGATGTACATTACATGATATTTCTTACTGATAGAAGTGGGCTTGATTGCATAATTTTCCATTTGACATATTTTCTTTTGTTAATATGGAAAGAGCCTCTTGAGAACAAACACTACTTCTGAAATAAAGAATATATCCGGAAAAACACAGCTGAGGTTAGTGAGGTAGGTAGTGGTAGTGATCTGAGGTAGTGATCAGTACAACATAAAAGTAAATAGCATATTTTAAAGGATACCATGTATATAAAAGCAAATATTATGTATTTTTGTTTGTTTCCATACTTCTGTATGGTGTTATTTCCCATCATAATTTTATTTATAATTTTTGCAAGCTATTTTAACCATTTGGAAGCTTGTTCCTGCCACACACATAAAAAATTGCCACGTTGATCCAAGTTAAAATTTCAAGTTATCTTGAAAATTTTGACTTACTCACAGAGCATCTTCAAATTTCAAATGACTTCTATGTACGCTGAAATTGTTCCATTATAATAAAATAACAATCAAAATGTATTCTAATTTCCAATTTTTTTATCCCTACTTTCAATCAATTGTTATTTTTTTGGTTATAATTCTTTATTTACTATTTTAACTTCCTATTTTAACTTGGTTAGCATTATATTAAACTTATAATTGTGACTACTTATCCAAACTGTTATGCTAATAATTTTGACAGCTAGCCACGGTTTTAGCCAACAGTTTTCCAACTTTTACTCATATTGTAGCTTGCTATTCTTTTACTGTTTGACTGTTTGTTTAGTTAAGAATTTTGTATTTGTTTATTTATACTTTGAATTAATTTTCATTTTTGTTATTTTTTAATTTTGGAGAGCTAAAACACTAAACTTTGCACAAACTGAAAACTGGCCAGTCTCAGCATCTCTTTGGTGTCTTTGGAAACTATAAAACTATTCTATATTTATATTTTGTATTATATTTTATTATTTATACTGTTATATAGTGGAACATGAGCTGTTGAGAAACTTCATTTAGACATGCACAAAGAAAAACTGTCAGTTTGCTTCTTAGTTTCACCGGATCCCACTCAAAAACAGAGTTGATGAAGGTAACACACCTATCATATATGCTTCATCTGTCAATGATGTACACTAACAGCAAGACCTGATATTGATCACCTAGAACGCTTTTTGATGTAGTTTGTGTTAGTATTAGTTGCACTATATATCTGCTTTCTTCTCTTGTTTGTTCTCTTGAGGTTTGTTCCTCTCATTTTGGACTAAAAGCTACAGTGAGCTACAGCACTAATTTCAGTAGATTGCAGCAAGACACACACACACACACACACACACA